ATATGGTAGGATGTGCCCTCCATCTCTGAAGTCCCGCCCCCATCATTTCTTCGACCTCATTAAAAAAAAAACAAAAAAAAAAACGTTAAATTCTGTTCATATTGCATCTATTAAGACCTCAAAATATCAAAAATGTCTGAGCGGAAGGGGGCGATCCGCCCACTCGACCCTAGCAGGACTCTGTCCCTGGCGGCCCCCAGCCATTTTGGTCCACTCTCCACAAATTTGCGCCCACCTGCAATACAAATCCTGCTTACAGGCCTGATATGAGGCATTTTACTGTGGAGTATTAGTACCGGTTTGATGTTATAATATAGCCTACGGTGTAATACACTGTTCTATTTATTTTTGAATTGAATTTTCCTTCACGTTACGTTTTGCATTATGCATTCGACATGTTATCATTGTGTATTGACTTGTAAGGTAGACACAATAAATTGTGGCGTAACAAAATTTTTTTAAATTAAAAAAAAATTAAGATCAAAACATATGATTCTTCGTATTTTCCCACGTACAAATGTTTTCAATGCTTTGAAAAATTGCTAACTCATCATATTTATTTTGAATATGTAACAGTATACGTAACAGAGAGGTAGCTGTAGGCGTAATTCTACATCTAGCCAAAATTAGATTAACTATAGCAAAGAGGCAGTCACAATTAAAATAAAAACGAGTTAAATTTCGTTTGAAACATTGTGCTTTTTGTATACACTGTATCACGAAGTAAAATTGGTATCAAATTCGCTACGAGAGCCTATCGGTATTTAAAATAAATAATAAACTAAAGTTTGAGTTGAATCAAGGGGACACAACACACTGTACTAATAATCAATTTGATGTCGCCATCATGATGGGTAGCTTTATAATAATATGAATTGATTAAATGAAGCATACGAAAAATATGTGTTGATTTCTTTTCTCGAAATACCTTCGGGATCGCTTCATTACCTCCTAGATAACTTCAGTTATAAATTCACTACTACAAACAATATATTAGTAACATTTTGATAACCGATGAGACAAATCACCACTTTCTAGAAATTACATAAACGTTGCAACACGCGGTGAATATAGTAACATAATAATATAATACTATCATATTGAGGTTTATATAATATAACATATGAATAGTAATCGAAATATGAAATACTAAGCAAAACATATATAAGATGGAAATGCTGTGAGATCGCTTGCAAATTGTATTTTCAATTATTTTAAAGAAAAGTCCGCTAAGCCCCGCCCCTTCGATATTGTTGCTAAGGCCAACAGAAATGCAGTGTAAAAAAAACATTCGCAAACACTCACGTTTGCGGGACAATACGTGTGTTTGTTGGACACGAACGTATTCATGGCAGTGTTCTGAAAGGTCCGTTAATTTTAATAGTTATTTTCTTATAAGCTAACGTTTGTGTTGTATTTTGCTGTACAATTGAAAGAGCGCCAGAACCACCCTCTGAAATATCGTAAAATCATATAGTGTTATTTATACAGAGATAATTTTTTAACCATCTGTGAAAAGGTTAAAATCAATAATGTTACCGGTATTCTATAAATTGAAGTAAAATTAAAAAAGATACAGTATTCAGTTAAAACATAATAAGCAGGTTTTGAGGTATTCGTTGAAACAGTGACTCCCCTGATGAAAAACAATGCCTGAAATTAATATACTTTTCTTATTTTGTTTATATAAGAGAAGAATGAGTTGCACTAGCACGTTGTAACGTCATAATATTGACCAAAACCAAAATGAGTCTAAAAATTACACAGGAAATGACGTCATTCAGTAACAAATTTAAAGGTCAATTGAAATACCTGAAATCGCCGGGTTTTTGATAATTACTTATAATTATTGCCTAAATGTTAAATCAATAATAAACCAAGCACACTTTGATGTAAACTTACTGGGAGCTTTCGTCTATATCAAACCTGACGAAACTATTCGAATATTTATAAATAGTTGGATATGTGCAGTACGGTATATACTTGTATAAAATTGCCATGATAGAGTAGAGCCGGATGGAGCAAATTTGTATGAAATCTACTGTTGCAAATATTGATTGATCGCCCCTGTCCAATCTAAAAAATTAGGCATTTTTAGGGCCCACGGTAAGGTACCGTAGTCGCCAAATACCACCCTACGGAACACCGGGGCCCGGCGACTTAACGTCCCATCCGAAGACCAAGGACACACACAAGAACGGCATTGGCGGGTTTCGAACATTGAAATCAAATTCAATAAAACTACAAAATAATATAACAATTGAGTAAGGTTTAAAACAACAATAGTAATTAGACAAATAAATAGGGTACCGTTAGCTTATAGAAATATTGAACAAGAAGAGAAAGTCTGTTTATAAAGGGTAAATCGAGCAAATAGGCTAACTGTTCAATTAAACCATTGAGGTCACTTAAGTTCTACTTTTTGATTGAAGAAAGGAATATACAGTACGTTTGTATTTTTCGTATTAGTCCTAAATTAACTCTGGGGCCCGAGATTGATAACAAAATCACCAGTTTGAGGAATACCATATTGTTATAAATCCGTTGTTGTTTCGACAAGTGGAGCACCTGTCACGAAAATAGTGCTTTGTTTAGTAAATATCTGTTATTCTTTGGGAGATAGAGCTGTCACCAATCCGAGATGGAATTAATAAACTGTAGGACTAACCGTCACTTGAATTCCAAAAGAAACTTGGTTCAAAGACCACCCACGCTCTTGACAACTAAGTAAGCAGGCGTATTGATATTTAAATCATCCTGCATTCTGATCAAATTTATATAGCTTAATTCGACTGAACCGCCTATTGGCATCGTGATTTCCTTGATGGTGTAACACATTCAAGGGTGTCTTCTCACTTTGAAAGGTAGGTTAAAGTAAAGCATTATTCATGTCTGGTTTATTGGCCTATCTTTAAAAAAAATTACGTATACAATACGAGTGTTCGTTATGTAATAAATGTAGTTTGGCCTGTCTCTGCAGTCGGTTTGCTTTTGAAATTTTAGTAAGAGTAGCGGCATATTATGTGACATTTCGAATTGGGAAATGAATATAAACTTCGAACTGAACAGTATTGGTTTAATTCTTTTCCATTCATTACCGTCTGTATGTGTTCTTCTATATACTAGTCAATGGGTAACTACCAACTTGCACTATTCTAAGAAAACTTTTCTCAATGTATTTATAAGTCGTGCTCTGTACATCCAAAACTTCACCGTCAAAGATATTGCAGTCTTTCTTGGTTAAAATGCCAAAGTTAAAAATTACAGAAAATATACTTGAAATATTAAGTCGCTTGGAAGGTTAATATTCCAATTCAATCTTACATGTAAAACGAACACTTGTAAATATAGTTATAAAATTATATACGGACTGTTGGTACGTTCGTGAAATTGTCTGTCATTATGTGTATATATATATATATATATATATATATATATTCTATTTCCATTCATTACCGTCTGTATGTGTTCTTCTATATACTAGTCAATAGGTAACTACCAACTTGCACTATTCTAAGAAAACTTTTCTCAATGTATTTATAAGTCGTGCTCTGTACATCCAAAACTTCACCGTCAAAGATATCGCAGTCTTTCTTGGTTAAAATGCCAAAGTTAAAAATTACAGAAAATATACTTGAGGTTGATTCCATGTATGTCTCACAGGAATATATAACTATAAGCAGATACAAAAATGAAAAGAATGCATACGTTGACATACACAGTAATAGAGATATATTTAATGTATTAGCTTTCCTTCGAGTCCGATGACAACGTCCGGCCGGTGGACCATCGAGGAAACATTTTTTGTCTATTATGTCAACGTATGAAAAATCTGTTCATTTTTGTATCTGCTACTTAGAAGTAATTTACATTAAAATACCTATGCACAGTGATTTCCGTTTATTTCGTACTCTGATTTAGTTTATAATAAAATGTATCATATAGGAAAATCGTAGGTATTTTTAATGTAAGTTATTTCAATAAGTAGTTTTTAAATTTTAAGACGATTTTGTACAGTTTTATAGATGTGTTTGTACCTTAGATCTTGATAATTGAAGACACGTTTTGTTCCATCCAAGCCTCCGACTATTTCTTTCATCTATATATACCATGAGGCACGTTTCAACTGGCTCTGAAGGCAATCAATTTCTTTCGCTTTATATATGAATATATATATAATTTTATATAAATTATATAATATATATATATATATATATATATCATTTTGCAACTAATCGTGTATAGGCATGAAGCCTTAGGACAAATACTGATTGTCTCATATGTTATGGTGTATCTAATAACATTCAAACAGGCGTCTAACAGAAATATTCATTTGACAACAATTCATGAGAACCAGAATTACTGGTTCTACTCTATATATATATACATATAAATATAAATTGATACAACTCATACGATACGGCCGAAAGATCTCGTTGATTCGTATCTTCAATAAATTGTTGTAAATTATTCATTTGCCATCTTAGTTATGTTGTATCGCGTGTACTATATTCTACACCTTGCGAAGGCCAGTCATTATTTAATGATGTATTCATTTATTCATTTAATTATTCATTTGTTCGTCCGTTCATTCTTTAAAACTGTCTTTAGCTATGATTTGCTAAAAACAAAACAACAGAGAACAACAACGAACAGAGAAAGTGTGCTGCGTATGACAGGCAACACTTCACATCATCACTTGTATCTAACTTAAAATCAACATGAAGGTAATTTATTGTTGATTATACAAAGAAAGTACGATATAAAGAATAACGTGGATATATAAAAATATGTAGTCTTATTCCGACCATGGAATCAAACGATAAGCCTTTAGTATGCCAGCCATGCGCTTCATCCTACACCTTTATAAAGGCTTAGAGAAAGAATACTTAACAATAATCAACCATATACCATGATTTAGAACTAGACATGCTTAGAAATTATCCATCGAGCCCCTGTTCCGAATCGGACCCAGCAGTTACCTACATATAAAGTGTCGCCGACAGAAAGTTTCACCGATAGCAATAATCAGTGAGCAATAAAATAGCCGTATATTAGTGGAATCATTACTCAGTGAAACTTTTAAGCTTTTTCTACATCCGTTAACCCCCGTATGTACGGATATGGGTGGTAGTTAAGGGCACACGCCCCCATTTACCTTAAAAAGTTCGTGCACCCTGGGCGAATCAAACTTCAATAAAATTCGCTTCCTTTACTTTCAATTTTACAAATTAAAGGTCCTTTCTTGTTTGTTTATCCATCCTACCTTTTATTTCTAGATTTGAGGATTCCTAATCTTTGTTTTGAAAATAGACCTCTTTAAAAGTTAAAAGTGATAGATGAAAAAAAAATAAAATAAATGTTTTATGTTATATAAAAACATATTATTTGAATCTTATTGTTTTTGTCTAAAACAGTTAAAGAAAACCAAACATTATGAAAACATTGATTTTAAGGATACGTCCATGCCCATCACAATATATATTTCTGTATTAGTTTATTTAGTTATTTTTTTTTCTCAATTGGAAACGATAACATTGAGCAATTATTATATTTTAATTAATTTTACATTATATTATATTTTGGATGGATGTTAAGCACGTCGATGATTTTAAATTTAGCAATTTAAACAGTATGCTATAGACTTTCAAATAAGGTTTCTGTTACTAGGAAAAGTAGTATTAACATTTTTCTAAATGGAAGTAGGCCCATCTGAAACTTAAAATAATGTTAATAGTTGGCGAAGGACTGTGGTACAATTTTTTTCAGATTACAAGTTTCCCATTAATTTAAGACCACTTTTTTGTGGTCACACAATAACAATTGTCTTTATTACAATAGGCCAAAGCTGTTAAAGACCGTCGAAACCCGATCCCAAAAGTGGTTTTAATCAGAGGGAGACCTAAATACTACTACTACTACTACTACTACTACTACTAGTAGTAGTAGTAGTAGTAGTAGTAGTAGTAGTAGTAGTAGTAGTAATAATAATAATAACAATAATAATAAAAAATAATAATATAATGAATTTAATAGTGCATGATCATGATGTTGATGAGAATAATGAAAAAGATCGGAAGGATATGGATGAGAATATAAATGAGATTATTATTATTATTATTATTATTATTATTATTATTATTATTATTATTATTATTATTGTTGTTGTTGTTGTTGTTGTTATTTCAGATTACAGACGCAAAATGCATCTTCGATTTATGGTTTTATTGCTTTCGGTCCTTGTTCTCATAACATGTACAGAGGCCCCGCCTCCTCCTGAATGCATGTAAGTATTATTGCACGATCAATCATTACATTTTAGGTCATCCTCCATTTTTCTTCTTTTTTTTTTACACAGTTTTTGTTTTATAATTTTGGAAAAAAAAAAAATTAGAGGGAGGGAGGGAGGACGGGCTGCAAGATATTTTCCTGTACAGTTAAGGGCATAAATTATGGAGTTTGCTATTTCAGGTCATTTAGGTGAACTGATAACATGAATGCATGTTTGACTTACCCCTCGAGAGTGGGATAACAGTGCTCGCTGCTTGTGAAACTACGGCGTATCAGTAGTAGGGTGGGCCAAAATCTCTTGGTAGTCGGTCAAGACAGTGCAGTCGACACAGTGAAAATTAACGAACTATTAGTATTGTAATTAAAATATCCCTATACCACTGTTTACGGACAGCATGGTCTTTGAATAAAAAGCAGCTTTGAATCTGGTCAGCAAGGGTGGCTACAGGATTTTCCCGACGGGTGGGGGGAGGGTGGGGGCTGTCTCTTATACACATCTAGATGTGTATAAGAGACAGCGCCCCCATTTACCTTAAGGGGTCAGATTTCCTAGACGAAAGCAAAGTGGGTGTGGTCGAGCTTCGATTAAAAGGTTTCGAAAGTGGTCCAGGGGGCTTCGCCCAAAAAGTTTTAACAATTTAGGGGTTTCAAAGGCTTATTTAATCCATTTTACTAAATATGTAGAAAATACATATAATTTGTTTTTCTCCCCAACGAATTGTGCTTTTTCTCCCCGACCGAGGGGAGCTCTCCCCGACCGGGCCCTGCCCCGGTTAGGGGGAGCTCAGGTTCAGGTTGAAGAATTTTTTACAAAAATAACATATGAGTTCCAATCAGGTTTCCGACAAAACTTTTCCACAGAATCTGCCACCATCCATCTTCTTGACTCCATCAAGACAAACATGTCTCAAGGATTTTACACTGGAATGGTTTTAATCGACTTATGCAAAGCTTTTGACACAGTCGACCATCAAATTCTTTGTGAAAAACTCAAACTTATGGGGTTTGATTCTGTCGAATGGTTCAGGTCTTACCTGCAAAATAGAAAACAAATTTTACGGTAAATATTAGTAACACTTTCTCCGAACCACTAGTTTTTTCGTCAGGAGTGCCTCATTGCAGTATATTGGGACCACTGTTATTTTTATGTTGCATAAATGATATGATTCTGAGTAAGCTATTACTTTATGCTGATGATAGCGCAATTTTTATTTCTCCCATCCTAACCCTGACTTTATTTCATCCAAACTAGAAAATGTTTTAGATTCTTGCCGACAATGGCTCACTGATAACAAGCTTTCACTAAACATTGAAAAGACCGAATGCATACTCTTCGGAACCAAACGAAAGCTTCGCAACACCGATTTTAAAATTATCACATGTGGACATACACTTAATGGGTCCACTTCTATCAAGTATTTATGTCTTGAAATAGATCAAACTATCTCATGTGAGCTCATTGCTAGAACCATTAATTCAAGATTAAAATTTTTATTTAGACAAGTAACAGGCTTTGATATTAGAATCCGTAAATTACTTTGCTCAGCTACATGCCACTTTGACTACTGTGCATCTGCATGGTACAATGGTATTGTATAAGCAAATGTCTCAAAAGGAAGATACAAATATCGCAAAATAAAACTGCTAGATTTATTATTGAACTGGGCCCTAGGTCACACATAGGACATGAAGAACTTTGTAGTCTTGGGTATCTAAATATTGAAGATCGGGTGAAATTTCTCAAATTTAATCATGTCCATAAAATCTTTAATAAAACTAATGTCAAATACCTTTCCGATAGACTTGTCCGCACCTCAAGCCTTCATAACCATAATACAAGAGGGAGCCAGTTCAATTTTGTTGTTCTTCCTGCCAAAGGCATTGCCTTCACAACATTTTACTTATCATCCATTCGAGATTGAAATTCTCTTCCAGACACGATGAAAATTGTTAGATCGCAGAGTATTTTTAAAACTAAACTAAAAAAAAACACCTTTCAGAAATCTAAATTGTTTTTCCATTTGAATTTTAAACATGTTTTTAACGTATGCTTCTCTTTTAAATAATTGATTCATGCCTGTGAAGATTTTATCTTTCATAACGTTTTCTAAACATTTTAAGAATTTTTGCTTTTACTTTTGTACCTTTTTACATTTGTTACATTATAAATATATATATATTGCCTCACCTCATCCATCATCTACAATTGCCTGTTCTTTTTTTTTCATTTTGAATATCTATAAGGACCCCATTGAAAATGAGCATGACTATCGTCGGCTTAATGGGTAATCCTGGTGCTCTTTTGTCTTCGTTTCTTATGTATTGTTATCTCGAGTACCTAATAAATTCTATTAAATTCAAATAAAATCATACTACTGATTGTAGGATATATAAAACGTTCAGAAATGCTCGGACACAGGTATTAAGACAATTCTAGTATATATTTCGTTCATATTCAATATGAATAAAAGTAATAGGCGTAGATTCATATGGCAATCATATATATCTAAATATTAATTTTATATTTTTCTATACACATGATATTACGTACCGTTTATTAAAGGCTGTCTATCCAATTAAAACGATTAAACAGCTTATTTAAAACGATTAAAATAAGATGAAAGTAAACAATAACTTTCACTGATTTACAGACGGTTCTACTAAAATCCATAAAAAATGTTACCAGCCAACGAATCATGCAAAAGAATAAAGCAAACACGCTTACAGTCTGTTAATTTTATACAGGTTTGAATGAGATTTTATTTTTTTCTCATTACAATTTTTAATTGTAAAATTGTAAGTTAACAACTGTGTCTAAAGTTTTATAATTCAGAATCAGTACCACTACAGGGGGCGTACAATTGCTAAAAACACATGTCATATCTACTTGCTTGATTACTTTCTTGATGTTTTTGGGTCGGTCAGTAAGCTTATCTAGGCCTATATGCTATACTGTTGGCCTAGGCCTACTGAAATAGCCAGCTTCAATATTACTGTGCTTTTTATATTTCAAAGACCATACTGTACATAAACTGTGTCTAGTCATAGGGATATTGTTACAATTATAGTCCATTAATATTTATACAGTCTTGACTACCAAGGCCTATTTTAAGAGATGTTGGCCTACTCCATAGCGTCCACTGAACTTTGTTTCGCGAGGAGAAGGTCTGACAAGTTAGATCATTGAGTATACGTGGAAATGTAATCTGTAGAAAATCTATCAAGTGCAGTGATGAAGTCAAATGTATATTATTTCGTTCTTTCTGTATGAATTTGTATTGTTCTACGCTCTGGTCTATGTATAGGCTTTCATCTATGATCACACTGAGATTATGTTATAACAATATTTTAAGAAAACTGTTACGCCAACCGAGATACTGTAGTGCTAATGCACTATTTGTTAATAATAATTTATTATCTTTCCAAGAATTTATGAGAAAATCAATCTTTAGCTTTTTAAAGCGATTTTCTACTTGTGTGAACCCTTTAGTTCGTTCTGTAAATGGATTTTTTGAAAGTTCTAGGCTCTCAAAAAAATGGAACGAACTTCTTTATGTTAATCCTTAATTTCTAAGGATCATGTGGGGTTTATTTTCCCCTTGTATTTATATTATTATTAGTTAAGTTGACGATGTTTAACTATGGATGTAAAGTCTGAAATAAAGAATAATGAATAATGAATGGACATACGGGATAGTGTAGACTGAGCTTTATGATATTGATGTCTAGCATGACCACTAATCAATATGCATAATAATTACCGTACTCGCGCGAATAAGCGCCCCTTTCGAATAACCGCCCCTCTCCTAACGTTAACAAATTTCCTTAAGCGCCTCGTTTGAATCAGCTCCCCTTCTAATTTGAATAAGCGCTCCCTAAATAATATCATAAGATTTTCTTTTTAGTAAGTCAATCCTAGGAATGTGGTTGTTGGCCTGATTTGAGCTGCAGAGTGGAATCAAATTCTTCTTAGGTCAATATCAAAATAAGAATATTATTTCTCTTGGACAGATGAGAGCTCCGATCAATGGACAGACAGTATATTTCCAACTTTACTCTTTTTACATATTTGTCTATGCCTAGTCCTACTCCTCTTTTTCTTTTTCCGAAAAGCACATTTTCATGTGAGTTTTCAAGAAAAAATACAATGATCCTGCCATCTTGCTAATCTCAATCGGCCGATGGCCAACAAGCTAACCACTACCCACCACCACTAATTACATCTGCTATTTGATTTTATGTAAATATTCACAGCATTCTTGTCATGAGCCATGTTTTCTGACGATTATCTTTTCCGCTAACCACCATTCGTAATGTCCTTATATTTTTTTTTTCATTCAAAAAATGCCTCTTGAATTTAATAATTTCCCATAAGAACCCCTCGATTTTCATTTATTTCCATAAGCGCCTCCTCAATATCCACTCTGTTTTCATAAGCGCCCTGTTTAAACAAGCGCCCCGTTTGAATAAGCGCCCCAAAAAAGTGCAAAAAATATTTTAAGCGCACGGGCGCTTATTCGCGCGAGTACGGTATAGGCCTTATATATGTGTGAAAAAAGAATGTTCAATCAGATTGAAAGTTTATTTTATTTTATCACTTATAAAATATGCGATTCTTTAAAAATTATGGAATAAAGTTGGAAACTCGCTGCATGTTTCTTGTGTCTGTCGTACAAAAAGACTAACATATCGTTGTCAATCGTGGTGTTTATCAAAAACAGTACGGTAAAACTAACTCTGCGTACATCGGATTTCAACATGTACGGTACTCAGAAAATCATAGATGAAAATACACATACAAATAAAGAAGGGGGTTACTAAAACCTGGAAAAAGAACGAATATAAATAATGGCAAAGTTCACGCGGACGCGTGTCACAATTCGTCAAAAAAAAAAACTGATGAAAATTTGGAATGAACGGTGCATTCGATCCGATGAGGATGAGCGTTTCATCAAATAATTGACATTTGTCGAATACTAAAAAACTAAAATAAAGAAATCCGGAGTGATTGATTCAACCAATCAACAGGTTCTGTTACAAGCTAACAAACATGGTTTATCCGAAAAAGAATTTATAGAAAAAGCAGTAAAAAGAGAGTTAAATATATATCTTATATCTGTTTGGATATCAACAGCAATTTCCTTCCAAGTATGGAAGCAGATTGATCATTGATTAATTGAATTCAATGTCTTACTTGATTTTTTGGCCAACATTATTTCATTCATTAGTTTATATAACAGATGAGTTTACTTGATTTTTCAGGTCACCAGTTGCACAAAACCGCCCATCACACTGCCAGGTGGTCTGGGGTCGCAAAGCACTAAATACCTTAGAGCGGTGAGTAGGTTTACAATTTACTGGTAGCGGTATAATTTCCTTAATTTTGCTTTATTGTGTGTTTATTGTCAGTTTTCTTCACATTGACGAAGAACACAGGGCGTGTTTGAATTATTTGTGATTTAATAAATTATATTACTTCATAGGCCTATTATGTCTAAATCTCAAAGAATCTTTATTTTCTGATATAAATACATCTATATAATATAAAAATCTAAAAAAGGTCTAAAATTTGCCGCAACTTATATGTATATACACTTATATAGGCCCATATATATATATATATATATATATATATATATATGTGTGTGTATATGTATTATGTCTGTATGTACATACGCTCATTGTGTTATCGATGAGGAAGTGCAAAGGTTGCTCAAAATATTCAGTCAAATAAATTGTATGTCACTAATGCATTATTACACTTCATTTTTATATAATTATATCTGTATGCACATATATATAAATATTTTATAAATAAACCATAGTCACAAAGACCAATGTTATCAGACAGACCGAAAAATTTCCTTAGCAGTTGTGTGAATAAATATCACTGGCAGAATTCGAACCTGCGATGTATGATGCAAGTTGAGCATCATACCTGTAGATCACAAAGACCTATGGGTATTATCACAGATTCTATCCAGCCACTTTTAACGAAGAAGTTGTTCTTTTTCGTTGACGGGCTCTACCTGATACGTTTATAAAATTATTTGTTTCTAAGTTTGATGTTGTTTTTCCTAGGTCTTGCTTTCTTTTACAATCTCCAAATAAATAAACCTGCAAAACTGTATTATACTGTATACACATTAAATGCATGTTTTAAATCAATTAAAAAATAAGTACATAGCCGATAGATTATTTATATTAATTTTTACAATCACTGTTTTGTTTTCGTTTCATATATTTCATATTTTTTGTCACTTTCTTTAAGATTACTTAAAAAAGAACTTATTGACGAAGAGATGAATACAGAAGAGCGAAATCTCGGCGACATGGAGGAAGCGGAAGGCCAAGAAACCAGAAACCTTGATGACGAAAACCAAAACCTATATGATGAAGTACGGTTTTTGGAATTGCTGCTAGATTTGAAGGGTGAAAATAATATAAAGAAATAAAAAAAGGTAGAAGAAACAGTTAAGTGGTATTCACACGGGGTCAAATCGGACAGCGCCGTACGACGCTTCCTGATGTGATTTAATGCTTCCTGATGTGACTGTCGGGAACAGTTTTACTCTTAGGTCTTCTTGAGAAAATATTTTGCGAAACGACTGTCTCCGGTTTTATAAATTTGGGATTCTACTGTACTCAATTGTAAATCCCTGTTTTTAACTGACATTTGTCTCAAACCTTTGAAATAATTCTTTTCTCAACATTTCAAGACTATGTGTTTTGTAAGTTTCAATATACATCTATCTGTATTTATTTATAACTTCAGAGAAGAAATAAAATAGGTCTACGGTGAGATTCTTTACTTTTAGTTAAGTTTAAAACAATTAATATTCATAAAGTATATAAAAAATATCATTTTTTTTTGTTGCAGAATAGAACCATGAAATA